TCAATCCAGACTGGGACGCATTGGAGAACAATTCTTTTGACACGCAAAATACTAAATATTCCACTACTCATTATCTTCAGTAGAATCAGAACAAAGCAGTTTGGGTTTAAATGATGGGTGGTTCAATACAGAAGACAAAGCTGATTTAACACCTGATCACAAGTTGGTGCGGTTTTTTTCCGGTAAATGGTCCTCAAACTTGTCATATCATTTTATCACACCTAACTTACTCGTTTTCTTATCCCCAGTCACCATATTCGGTTTGGTAACAAAGGTAGAATACATGAAATGCACAAAACCTTACATGACCAAGGTGTTCCTTCCATGAGAAGTCCCCTCCAAAACTTGGCTTGCCCAAAACACGAACTGACAGAGTATGGGGTCAGATTTCCAGGGTAAAAAAACGCGTTTCAAGCCACCAGTTTGCGCGCCGACCGATATTGATTCTGCTCGCACAAACTCGTCACCAAAAGACACTGAATGGTACCTAGCGTGCTCGCTGTCTGTCTATCTCCCAGTCCAACTCACTCTAGCATGGCAGCAGAGATGAACCGAGGTTGGTTAAATGAACGGAGGCGAAAACCCGCTGGGTGCTCTGCTGACTCCCTGAGTAAGGACAAAGAACAAGTGTGACGAACAGGTTTTCTGGCAAGTCAGTGAAACACAGAGCTCCGCCGTCCATGCCGATGTGGACGCGGAGTACGATCCGAGATCCCATCAAAAACCCAGTTGAACAACCTTCATAGTATGATAGCCGCTCGCCTGTGTAAAAGAACAGTTGCTTCCACAGGCGGTTTACAGATCGTCAACGGATGACTGATTCGTTTTACGGGCTAAGAAAGATGGTATCCAGGTAATCAATGAGAACACATAGAAAGTCGAATATTTTTTAGTACCGCACTCGGGTCAAGTCATTAGTTGAAAGATGATCAACTCAGTACGACAAAGTAACCGAAATACTGAAAGCTTACTTTCTTGTAGTACAGTGGGCGAAACGTAGTTATTGATGATAGTAGAAATCTAGAATAATGGTCACAAAAATTTGAGATTTCAGTGGGGATATCCAAACGAAATATGTGGGTTGACAGTGGCTCGCTAGAGTCCCTCCAAAAAGGACGAATCTTTTTATTCATCAGGATAAATCATGAAGCGCACCACAACAACAATCTGACCTTTCGGTGACCTCAACGTTTCCACAGAGATTATGAGCATCATCCGTTCGACTGAGGAGAGGTATGGAAAGCCGCTTCTACGTGGTGTTCGCAGAATTGTTTCCGCAGGTACTGTGAGCCAAACTGTGAACAGGAATGTCGGCAGAGAACAAATCGCAGAGAACAAAACGCTAATCGTTGCACTCATTTGCTCAATGCAGTATGTTGGATAGCTAAGGCGCAACACAGGGCAGTCAAGAACCACCTAATCTTGGAAGTGAGTCCTTCATACTGGTGGGAGCTTTAGCTACGGCTCTGGACTACGGTAAGCTGGCACCATTCGCTCCGAAAAAAGCGAAACCAGAATGACCGCGCCAGAGCAGTAGGACGATTGTTCAAAAGGGAGTCATGTGAGAATTTAATCTACAGAATCCCGAAACCAGCAACACTTGAAAAATTTTTTCTGCCAAGACATTATGCACGCACTTATTAGCGATCTTTTCTAAGAAGTTATTCAGAAATTTTGCCGAGCACTTCTACTGCATAACAGTATCCTTGGATGACCCGTCACTCGGAGACCGAGCCCATCTGATGTAATCCGTAGAAGGTGGACCGGGTGGTGTGAGATCGCTGAGTTTCGTGCACGTTTATGAGAAATTGGTAGGTTACGTTTCAGAAACCTACTTTTTTGTGATGACGGAAGTACTTGACTTACATTTCACCAGTTCGGAATCATTACCGAATCTTTGTAATGTACTACTCATAAGGTTGCTGAAAACTCCTCGATAGCCCATGACTGGTTTTGCCCTTCTTGAAGCTCATCAGATAGTCGCATTCCCCGAGTTTCTCGAAAAAACCAAATTAGTTTGCAAATGAGTGTATATTCGCTAATAACACCGAATCGTTTGCACGTTAAACTGTCGGCCGCGTCAAAGTGGAAACAATATCTCCGTAAGATTAGAAACAAGCAGGTTCCAGAATGAAAGGCTAATCAATATCCATTCATTTCCGATTCTGACAAAATCCATTTGTTTGTGGTCTTTTTCGGATGGTTGATGGTTCACAGAGAACAACACCGTAACTGTTATGATGCGATTGTAGAGAGATAATGAGGAGCTGGAGACAGTCAGCGGTTCCTGGAGGACATATAACTAACCTCAAAATGTATTCACACTGTCCCAAAACGAACCCCTTTGTCCACATCCTATGAAGAAATGTCCTGGAAGAGATGTCACTCTTCCGACATGGGGGATACATGAAACGCTTGACAGCTTTGCCCCGCAACTTCCAAACGAGGATAGTCGTTTTAACCCGAAATTGCAAATATGAGACGACTATTGGCGAATATACACTCATTTGCAAACTAAATTGGTTTTTTCGAGAGACTCACCTGGAACCCAGCTGAATCTCTCGTTTGTGATGTTTTCAAGCAACTGAATGTGCAGCACCAGGCCACCTCATGTTTCAGTTGCTACGATATTCGAGATATCGCGATACATGTATATCTTTGTAATGTACTAGGGACGGATTTTCAGCAACCTTATGAGTAGTACATTACAAATAACATGTTTCATGATATCTCGAATATCTTAGCGACTGAAACATGAGGCGGCCTGGTGCAACATGTTCAGTTGCCTGAGAACATCACAAACGAGAGATTCAGCTGGGTTCCAGGTGAGTCTCTCGAAAAAAACCAATTTAGTTTGCAAATGAGTGTATATTCGCCAGTAGTCGTCTCATATTTGCAATTTCGGGTTAGAATTTTTAAAAGCCACTAGTTTACCTTCACCTTCTTCACACCATAAGACGCGCTTGACCACTGAGTTTTCCGCGCAGAAAACTTTGTTTCTGCAGTATGTGTGAAACAGAGCAACAATTCACCAGGTTTGCCATTATAAGTCGTCCACTCTAGGCCATGAACTCAGTCGCCCGACGATATGTAAACGTAAGGCCAATAGACCAATTAATTTGTCCGAGGTTTTAGATGATCAGATCATGGTAAATTGAAAGTTTATGTTCTCCCCGGGTACATTTTGTGGTTCCGTCAGAAGAAATTGCAGGCCGATCCACCTATAGCACCATCCCGGTGCTTAGCCGCCGTGCCATCTAAAGGAAACATGAGGGTCGAGCTAATGTCAGGTTGCCTAAGTCTAGACAGCGGCAGTAGGGTTGGTGGCGTTGGGATTAAATCACTGGCCTTCCGGTCAGTAAGGTCGCGACCTAACCACTTAGCACTCTTGAACTAAGCCAGAAGATACCACGGGACACTGATGAGCTAATCATAAACCATAAAAGATTATCAACCAGTCTGATCAAAAGTTAGGTTAGGAAGGATTTTAATTCCTGTTCCAAGAAGTTAATTTTGTAGATCACGTGGATCTCAGTTGTTGCAGTCATTAACTGCACTTGTAAACCCCTTTGAATATCACTCAAGTTGCAGGCTAATTCTGCCCAACGATACTTAATCTGAAACTCAGAACATTATTTAAAGGTAAATTGAGGGGAATGCGAATTAATCTACCCGATAGTGCACACACTGAAGAACGCAACTTTCTCTACAATTTCGACTAACTTTAGAGCGTTTCACACAGTGGCTGTGAATTTTGTTAACTTGCAAAATTGGGGTACGTTCATCGATTATATGAACACGGTTTTATCGAAGTTTCCCCCATCAAGAATAGTGTTCTTCAAATGATGGTAGGCCTAAAGAGCTAGGAGGAGGGTGGAAAGCGCAAGTCAAGCAAAAGCCGTACGCAATCTTGTGACTGTGTCTAACCGATGAGCCCAAAGATGAAGGACAAAAACAGTCGTGAGATTTTGAAGAGTTTTAAGCAAACTTGTGAGTAGTATTTCTTCAGGAAATTCAAACCATGGTCAGAGTCACAGAGTAACGAAACCCCTTCCAGTAGCACTCTATGCTAACTACCCATTTTGCGAGAAGCATTTTTCAAACGGAATTAAACGGGGAGAATAATGTAGCTTATGTATGAATTAACTCGAGATATGTCGCACTATAAACGAAACGTTTGAGCACTGATGTAAGGATTGTTCAGTTTCCTAATGCAACCGTGAATTTGTTCAATCTTGAGAACAATTACTTCCCTATGATAAGAAAACACTCTGACCAGACCTTTGAGTCCGGTTTCAATTTAGGAGACCAGTGAGAAAGCGTTTTTATGATCGAATGCCTGCCGTTGGTCATTTACCCTTGACGTTGAAAAGCGTTATATGGGGTAATCATGTACACTTACCAAATTAAATGGTTCGACCCGATTGGCTGACCTGGAGCCACTAAGAAAACTAAATTTGGATCTTAATATATATTTCTTACGTCGTGAAGAGACTGGACCTTAAAGTAGTAGTGTGTACACCTGATACTTCCCGAGCTTCTCATACCAGGTTGGTTAATGAGTACAGGTTCAACTATCATCATCATCATCATCATCATCATCATCATCATCATCATCATCATCATCATCATCATCATCATCATCATCATCATCATCATCATCATCAACATCATCATCATCATCATCATCATCATCGACAGCGTGATATCACTGTTCAACACCGATGCTTCGTTAGTGTAACAAGTCCAACTAACGACATCTTGACTCTTATTGTTGAAGTCTGGAACGTGTGCGGAGACTTGTTTTCTAGAAATGCTATTGTACTTACGTTTCCCACCAAAAAACTCTGCCTGGCGGTTAGGCTCTAATCGAGGACCCTAATTGTCATCCTGTCTGAATCTCGGTGCCCAGGCAGTATCCCAACCCACGTTTAACCATTATATCTACTTTTCTCGTGCCACATCGGTCGTCGCGCGGTATCGTCAGCCGGTCAACTTACCTGCTGCATACAGCGGGGCTCCCACTCCCTTGAGACATTCCAACCATTCCGTCTTGCACACGACATCCACCATTGTGAATACTCTCTCCTTGAGTCCCAGAAGAGGACTCGCCCTTTTATTAGCCGCCCATCAGACTCAACTGCAGCTTGTGTACGACCGATCTCAGGAACAACCCTAAACATATCGAAGTCTGCTTTCAACCTCCAAAAGTCTATCACCCTGGCTACTTCCAATGTCCGCGCAGGCGAACAAGCAGCCTTTTCCCTCATGCCAGATTTCCCCTGAATTGCTATACACCGTCTGACAGAAACGTGGATACAGGACACATATTCTGCGATTAAATTGACTGCCCGCTCTGACTCTTCCAAGTTCTGGCTGCGCACCTCTTGTGATGCGGAGGCCACCATATCCGTATGCGCCGGGGTGGTACTGAGCTAAGCAATCAAACAGAAGCCTACGTACTTGACTGGATATCCGTTGACAGCCGTCTCCACGCGTTTTCTGGTCAAGGTCCGTGAAGGAACCATTAGAAGTTGAGTTGCATCGCTCCCTAGTTATCGCGTCTACTTACACCCTTAGGGCCTCTAGCTCCGAATCGGCCAAGGATGGTTTCTGTGACGTTCTAGAAGCTCGTTTACAAATGGTGAAAAGCTCAGACGTCGTTGTGTTTGTTAGTGACATGATCTCTAAGGTCGGTAGATTGAGCGCTGCTGGTGCAGTCTTGGGTTGCATTAAAGACGCAACGGAAGCCGTCTAGTTTTGATGTTTGCAGCTCACATACTGTTCATTTGCCGTGTTGATCGCTCGAAACCATAATTTAAAAATTGATCGGTACGGTTTTCGAACTTTGAAGTGGCTTAACATATAATTCAAACTTTGCACAATGCTTTTTGGGTACTAAAAACTTGGAGTAATTCGTGCCCATTGCATTTTTATAACCCTGAGCTCATATTTTTTGCTCAGAATGCAATATTTCAGGCCTAATACGCGCTGCGTAGCTTAAAAGTCGACTGGGATGAACCGACTCACAAGTCCCGATAGGTGCAGTAAAAAAACTTCTGTCGGAACATCTCATTCCTCTCTGGGGACTTCGTCCATCAACTACCTCAACTGTAATCATTTCTGATGACGCTGAGTTATGGCTTCGGGCGATTCGCTTTGACTTTGAGCACCAAAGACGAACTTGTCCTAAACAGAGGAATCTTCTGATTGGAAAATCTTATGATCATAGCAGGAAATAAAAATGAACAAACGGCTCATCACGCATGAGCTGAAAAACGTGTCTTGCATCATAGTGACGGTCAGACAAAATTACCGTGATTCGAATTTGAAGATATTTCAGTTCACTTGCAGGTATCCGACAGACGTGTGACTACGGACGATGCGTGAGTGTGATTTCATCGCTGGTCTAACAGTTCTCGGGATGAGATATTTTGCAAATTGTGTTTTACTGTTTGTTCCGTTGCGCATCTGTCTGTCTTGCGAGTATGAACGTCTCCGCGGCCACAGCAGAACTATTGTAGTGTCAGGTAGCTTGGACAGTCCAGGTTGAAGTTTTTGCCAGTAAATACTTTGGTGGCGCGTACCAGACGCTTCTGGGCAACAGTATTAGTCTTTTGGCCCCACCGTACTGTGAACCTCAATGAGGCATTCGGAATGGCTGTTCGCCAGCTGATCCTTGTCGCAGCGTCTCCCCGGAGACGCTTCTGGGCAACAGTATTAGTCTTTGGCCCCACCGCACTGTGAACCTCAATGAGGCATTCTGAATGGCTGTTCGTCAGCTGATCCTCGTCGCAGCGTCGCCCCGTTTTACAGAACAGCACCCATGAGCTACTGGGGTGTAACTGGAACTGTGGAGAAAAGCCCCCTCGTGTTCATACCGCAGGTGAAGCTTCACAAGGACCGGCCGCAACACTAAATAGTCCGTTTGGTTCACAAATACAACGCAGAGATTAGTCTGGACGGCGTCTAGGAGGGACTGATAGTGTTCTACGTCATTCATAATAAAAACTTCGTCTGTTTCTGTTCGGTTATCCCCACAAAATTATCTGCTAACAGTGAATCCGAACGATTAAACTTGGCAACATTGTCGATTTGTTTGAATACACCGCTCGTCAAAACATATTTGTCCAATGTAAAGCCGGGTTTTTAATGCCGTCTTTTTGGTGTCATGGATTGATGCTGTGCATCAGCACTTTGCTGAATACTTGATCAACGTCACTTGAGTTGGTTATGCTTGGGAATAATATTAGTTTTTTGAATTTTCGTCTCTCTGAGGAGTCACTGTTTAACTTTCCCCTGTAATATTCGTACATCCTAAGGATCGCATCTGAAAATTTATCAAGCTGGAGGGATAACGAATGTGTCATTTCCATCGGTTCATCGAGCATTCTAAAGAATGGTGAAAGGGAGAAATCTCTTCGTCGCGAAGTCATTCATTAGCATACACGAAGTAAGCAGTTACGATTCTTTGCACCGGGAAATAAACATCTCCTATGCACACAAACTTTAAAAACTGAATATTCACAGGCGTCCTCTTGAATTTCTCAGAATATTCACTGAATATTACATGATAGTAAACAAGCACTACTAAGCCGTTACAAAATTTCCGTAATAAACTTCACTTTCGATCAGATAGGGAGAGGAGCTTGGTAACCAGGCCATAGGCTACTTGCACGCTTCATCAGTAGTACGTTGCTATGAAATTGGAATGAGTTTAGAAAAAAACAGACGATATCATCGCCGTTTTTTGGTTCTTCGTTGAGTTCATTGCCTGGCCAATAGGATAAGATGTCACCAAAGTGAGAAAACATTCACTGAGGTGCCTGACCGGGGGTGTTATCAACATCTTTTCGAAATTGGCGGCAGTTTTCGGGCATGATGTCGAGGGTCTTACCGGTGAACCACCTTCCAGCCAATGGAATGTCTGTCGCCAAGCCAACCCAAACATCCAACCAATTATCAGCCGCCACTCGCTCTGACTCTTGCTGTTTTCCGCTTCCATCTTAGGTCACTAAGGCATCACACAATAGACTTGAGTTCATAGGCAAGCAAATTCGACTCTTCCCGTCCGATTCCTACATAGGTCTGTCTAATTAGCACCAGAGATGCGAAACTAACAAACTAAACCTGACTTGCTTTCTTCGTATCCTGACCTATTAGACATAAAACCATGTGCAAGAGACTGGTGTTGTCCATCCTAGGATAGTTAGTCTGACTTTTTTATCATGGGTCCTGAAAGGCAGATCAGTCGATCGGCACAACTAGGACAGTTACTGGGCCTTCGTCCTAGGATACGGCCATCCAAGCGTGAACACATTCGTCCATTCGTCTCCAGCGTGCGCTGGTAGCGCCTTGTTGACACACTCGCATAGTATGTCAGAAGTGCAAAGTTCTAACCACTGCATGGTCGAGGATGTGCACTGCTGATGAGCGCCAATAAGAGGGAAGCTCGAGTCCAGTTCTCCACCCCCACTCAGAATGACTGCACTGCTGAAAAGACAGTGACTTGACCTTGATACCTACGAATTCCGCAACCATATACAACCAAGTCAATTATTTTAGACAGCAGGCTATTGGATGACGCCTGAATCTGTTCTCTATTTATTCATGTCTCTCGTTTCGTCAAGCTTAGTGAGTGTTTGAGGGATGTCATGCGCGTGCAGTATGCATCACGTGACCAGATCATGTGCTGAAACATTGGTCGTTTGGTTTCGTTCTCAAGTGCAGTGCTTGATATCACAGTTCCAGTCCTCATCGCCCCAGCGACTTCGGAAAGTGGTGACTGTCCGGTAACGCCCTTCTGTCAGTCCATTCTGCACCCTTCTGGATTAGACTGATAGTTTCCATCGATGCGTTAACGAAGCTCTTACAAAGGCCGTGGACCACAAGTACCTTAATATCCTCGTGTTTTCGCACGCATATTACATAGAACCTGGTCAAATAAATTATCCAACTAACAGTCTGCCAAACATATTCATTTGCATTATTAAACGATTTGAAAAGTTCTTCCGCTAGCAAGCCTTCGGCATGTAGGCACTAGACAGCAGGAAGGAAGTTGGTGGAGTGGAGAACTGCCGACACGTTTAGTTGTAGACAAGAGCACTTGAAGCACTCATGGTCTCTTTGAGTCTGCAGGGAGAGTCTGAGTTTAATTCCCAGAAACCAAATGAAAAAACTCCGTTTTGCAAGTCATCTAAGTGACCTTTCAGCCAATTGAGTTGAGCCTCAGTTTCATGTCTTATGCCCAACCTCGAGTGCTTGTCATTGCATATCTCCTTTCTGCATTTACCTGACGTCGTAGTGAGTTTTTTATTCAATGGACAAATTACGATTATATATAATTATTCGTGGACCTGAGTGTTTCACTCAGTCTCCCGTTAAGGAATCCACTGCACATTTTTAGTGAAAGATGATGCAATTACGGCCATAACTTTTGATAAAGCAACCCTCCTAAAGTGCTCAAAATTTCCTCAGCCTAAAAACAAAATAAGATATTAAACCTTCAGCTGAAGCATCCTTTCATTGCTTAGCTGCCATGCCACCTGAGGAGAGTAGGAGGGCTGATATACTCTCAGATTTCCCAAGCCTAGACGAGCAGCCAAGGCGCATATGTTGGTTTCGAACCATGGACCTTCCGGGCACTGAGTTCACACCTTAACAACTGATTTATCTCTCAGACCCTGGACAAGACCTTCCCTTAGTGCACGTCTGACAGCTCATGGATCATGACCGAGAAGTTTGGTATTTTGAAGTCATCATCATCAGCAGCAGCATGACATCAGTGTTCAATACCGATGCTTCACTGCCGTACAACCATGATTTATTTGAAAGCCTTATTGTAAAGAAAAGAATAAGGGGGAACGGGGAAGGGACTTAGTGCTAGCTTAACACAATCATTCCGAGGTGCCTACACCTCCAGACATTC